CCTGCCCCCATCACTTCTCTTCAGTGTCCTCCTTATGCTCAGAACTGAACACAAGACTCCAGTGAGGTGGTAGTCAAGTGGTAGAGTCAGGAGTAGGGGCTCTCTTCTAACTCTTACACCCCAGCTGCACCCCACCATGACCTTAAAACAATACAGTATAATGATGGATATTTTCATATTTCGTTGAGACACTCAAGTCAATGCACAGCACCTTTAGTTGTCTCACAGTACCCACAAATGGGAAAGAATTCTAATGGATCTGAGAAGAATCCCAAACAGTTGCTTACAGAAGATTTTACATGTTTCCCTACTAATTCTCCCATAACTGTCCTTCTGATTTTTTGAGGGGTCCTATTTAGATTATCTGTTATGTATTGGAAAAAAATGTATTTCAGCCTCATCATCTTTCAGAGAAGAATCTTTACTTGGGTTAACGTTGTTTTGAAACTCCTCTGCCTTAGAAAGTGCCTCTAAGTTTAAAACAGGCTTTGCTTCATAGGCAACCCTTAAAAACCACTTTACAAAATTTCTCAAGTTGACTTTAAAGTTGATGTCCACAATGTGGGTATCTTATGCAGAAAAAAATATGCTTGCAGGGGGTGGAGGGAGAGTCCAAAAGAGTCTGAGATGTTTTGTAGCTTTTCTGTCACTGAATGAATGCCTGCAGGGACCTTTGACAAATCACTTCAGCTCTCAGTTTCTTCATCTGTAAAATAAGGGTGGAAGTTGAACTCAGGCTCTATGGTCTTTTCCAGCTCTAAATCTATGAACTTCAGACTTAGTAAGCCAAATTTTGGCAATGATACTGAGTATTTTTATTTATTTATTTATAACATAGAAGCATGAGAAATGCAGTTATATTTTTACTTTCCAGACCTGTGATTTCATCAGTGTAGAGAGCTGGCTGGAAAGAAGCCTCCTTCTGTTATTATAGAACAGCAATGGATTGCCTCGGTAATTTAGTCTTACAGAGTTGCCTGGGTGCTGAGGACAGCCAATGTCAGCCAGCCAGCATATGTCAATGACAGGATTTAAAATGGCACTCCTGACTTTAAAGGCAGCTCTGTCCACTTTAGTCTGACACAGGTACTTTCTAGTACTTGTGTTTAATTCTAGTTCATTCAGAATTATAAAGCATCAATTTAACATTTTGAAGTGGAATAAAACTGGTTTTTAATTAGCTCAGTCCATTAAAATAACTACGTGCCAAGAATTGTGCTAAGGATACAAAAAGAGGCAGAAAGAGGGAGGGAGCTCTCCTGCCCTCCAGGAGCTCCCATTCTAATGGGGAAGACAACATGCAAATGACTATGTACATAGAAGACCTAGCCATGTAAGTAGGAGGTCAAATAAATTTTGTGGTTAAGGTGAGCATATCCAGGCAGATTCTAGCTTCTTTGGCAAAGGAAGAAACATCCTCTACAGCTCTTAAATCCCTTCATCGCTGAGGTCACAGCATCCTTTAACACTTGAATAGCTATGAGCAGATACTGTCCAATCCTCCACAAGTCAAGGAAGTCAAAATTTGAAAATAAAAAGAAAGTTTAGGGATTGTTTTCTCTTGTTTCCAATTAGTGAAAGAAATGAACTGGCTGGAGCAGCTTCATTAGTGAAGTATGCATCAAAGGCTGCCCTCAGGAGCAGGGAAGAAGAGGCTCACTTACTAACTAAGGCAAGCAAGAAGGTGAGGATGGGCTATTTAAAGGGAGGCTGTAGCTGAGGAGGGGAAAGGCTGGCTCAGAATGGCCTTGGCTCTCCCTTGCTGCTCTCTTTCCCCAGCCTTTGTTAGACTGTTTCCTCCGTTCAAATAGCATCTTTCAATCTTTTTAGTCTCCATTTACATGAAGAATTTCAGGGTTTTTTTTTATACTGGGATTTTAAATAAAGAAATCAATGTAAAAGGATCCCAAAGGGGTTTTTTAACTTGGGTGAATTTGGTTTCCTTTTTTTCTTTTTCTTTTTTTGGGTAGGCAATGGGGTTAAGTGACATGCTCACACAGCTAGTAAGTGTTGTGTGTCTGAGGCCGAATTTGAACTCAGGTCCTCCTGAATCCACCTCCTGAATCCAGGGCTAGTGCTCTATCCACTGCACCACTTAACTGCCCCTGATGAATTTGTTTTTGAAGTAGAGTAAATTTATAATATTAGCAGTTAAGGTTCATAAATATGGGAAAGTACTTCTTTTCTCAAGTGTGAAGTGTGAAAAGGAATAGCAAGCTGAGAACAAGATGTTGAAGTTAGTCTGAGAAGATGAATCTTGATTTACACTGGGCTTGGGAGTCAGGAAGAACTGAGTTCAAGTCCTATCTCAAACATTTATAAGCTGTGTGACCTCGAGCAAGCCAATTTTCCTCTCTGGGCTTCAGTTTCCTCATGTGTCAAATGTGGGCTTAGGAGCAGACTCCATGGTCCCTTTCTGCTCTAAAATCTATGATCCATGCATCAGAGTTTTGTTGTTATTCACTTATGTCCAACTCAATTTGGGGTTTTCTTGGCAAAGATCCTGGAGTGGTTTGCCATTTCCTTCTCCAGCTCATTTTTCAGATGAGGAAACTGAGGCAAACAGAGTTAAGTGACTTGCCCAGGGTCACACAGTTAGCAAGAGTCTCAGGCCAGAGTTGAACTCAGGTAGATGAGTCTTCCTGACTCCAGACTTGGCACTCCATCCACCGAACCACCTAGCTATCCCATATGCATCAGGAGGGAAGATGCAGATAAATGAAAGGGGAATAGAAATTTCCCTTTTTTATTATACTCTTATTTCAGGTTGATTAAATGGTCTGCAATAGGCAGAGAAGGTAATGGTCCCTATGCTTAAAGATTTTACACTCTAAAATTAGAGGCTGCAGACAGGACACACATAAGCAGAAATCTGTTTGCCTGTCTTTGACCCCCATACAAAAGCCTTCTCAGCCAAATCATGGAAAAGGCTGAGCCTGGAATTTCCAGCAAAAAAGGTCCATCATTAAAGATGCAGAGAGGGGTCATCCAAGGTCAGGTTGACGTTTGACCCAAATGCCTAAAGGAAAGCCAAACTGAATCCAGCAGTCACTGCTTCTTCCTTTAAATGGAACAATGACTCTCTCTTTGCCCAGCAGCTCCCTCTCTAAATGAATTGTACAGAGGAATTGAAACATGTTATGAGGAAAAGGGAGTGGACCATTCCTGAAAGTCTGAGAGTAGAGCTATGGTAACCTCGCCTTCCTTGTGTGCCTATTTCAAGAATCTGAGAGCTAGCCAGGGATGAGTTCAGTCATACAATTTGCTGGGCTTGTTGTTTAGACTTGCAGGAAAGGTCACATGCCCTCCCTGACAAGCAAGGTTTATGGGCTCTCTCTAATTAGCAGTACCCTCCACCAGACAGACTGTTGGCCAGCCTCCAAGAGGAGAGTTTTATGGAGGCCCTGATAAAGGAGAAAACAAGGTTACTCACCCTGTGACTGGAATTCTTGGTTCACATTACCTCTAGGGACCTGGCCAGCCAGCCCTTTCAGGGATGTTTGTCTTTGGAATTCTGTTTTGAGCAGGAAACTAGAAACTAAGGGAAAGGATGGCTTGGAGACTCTGTATAAGCTCTTATCCACAGGTTGCCCTTTACCTTTTCACTGGGGTTGGACAGGTCAACCCCTGTATTTTCTAGAAGCCTGTTATCACATACTCTTGTAACTTCTTAAATATGTCCACCCCTACAGAAAAGGAAGTTTGAGTTCCAATGTCAATAAAATAGTAATTGTTGTAGGGCACTAGCCGCAGAGAGGAGAGTCAGAGATCCCATCTGTCACACATATGCTATTACTAGCCATGAGAACTGTGAAAATGTGGGTCAGATCCATCAGAACTGCCAGGGAGTGGATGGAGTTCAGGAGGGGTGATTGGGCAGGGATGCTCAATTTCTTTGGTTAATTCAAGCCAGATGCTTAGCATTTGCTTTCCAATCTGAAATGTTTCTGTTGAAGCTTACAAAACTCCAACTTCAGAGGCAATGGTGCCCCTCAAGGATGTCAAATGTTAACCTGAGACTGTGTAGCTCCCCAGAAGAGACATAGGTGAGTTCTCATTTCCAGTGCAAATGAAACAAAACGAAAAGGAAAAACGCCTTGCTAACAGCCGCTATTACTCCAGTCACATTCCAAGGGCACTGAGTCACAGGGTTCATACAGTTGGCTTTGCCCCAGAACAGAGCTGCTTCTGTGTATCTGGGCGGAGTTGGAGGGGGGAAAGGAGGGGAGGAAATAACCTCTAACTCCAAACGCAAGACAGATAACTGGTGGAAAGGAGCCATGAGTGAAATCTCAGACGCCCGACTTAATCTGGGGTCTGCTGGCCGGGCATCCGGGCTCCATCTCCAACCATTTAGAAATGAGGTCACAGAGCTGCTGGCATCTAATCACGGCCTCTGGGGGTTTTTTGTTGTTGTGGCTATACTTGGCTTTCCTCTCACAGACCCAAACCGCCCAGGAAATCCTCCTGGCTACCTCGAGCTCACTTTCCAGACACTGGGGTGGAAAGTGTGTGTGTATGGGGGGGGAGGTCAGAGATAGTCGCTTGTTACCCTGGACAGTCCCAGATTTAAAAGATGGAAGGGACGGTAAGAAAGCATCTATCCGGTATTCATCACCCCAGTTATTTCTTAGATGAGACCCAGAGGAGTTCTGAGACTGCCTGATTATACGACTCCTGGGGTGGGGACTCAGACCCAGATCCTTCAGCCGCAAATCCAAAGCTCTTTCCTCTATGATTCTTGGATAGCCAAAACAAAAGATCCTCTAGCCCGTGCCCTCAGCAGTCTCCCACGCCACTAGACGCTGAGGGAGGCCAGAATGGAAACTCCCTGACTGGGACTTGGGCGCGTGGGATAATATGGTGCGAGGGTTTGGGTGGTGGTGGCTTTCTTTTTCTTTTTTTTTTTCCTTTTTCCCTAGAGAAAACACCCTATCCCTCCCTCTTTTCCTCTCCCCCCTCCCCGCCTCTCCCGAGGCTGCACTGAGCCGAGGGCGGAGAGGAAAGGAGAAGTTGTACACATCTGGCCCCAGAGCAGTCACATCTGGCCCCAGAGCAGTCACATCTGGCCGCAGCAGCAGTTGGAGTGCCTGGGCTGGGCGGAGCTCCGGAGGCCCCTGGGAGCCCGTAAAGCTTAAGAAGGAGGAGGATAGTGGTGGCGAGGGGGGCGTGGGACTCCACCTCCTCCTCCCACCCACTTAGAACCAAAGGAGGGCGCCTCCGCCCTCCTCCCCTCCCCTTTCTTCTCCTCCAGTCCTCTCCCCTCCCGGCCCCACTGCCTCCAGCCCAGCCCAGCCCGCCACAGCTGTTCGGGCCGTCCTAGCCCGGTGGGCCCATGGAGCCTCGACAGGGCTTTCTGCGCCGTGGGGGAGTTCGGGAGCTGCCAGAGGCGCTTCGTGGCCGTGCTGGTGGGGTTACAGGTAGGGGACTGGCCCGGGAGGGGCAAGAGGGATGAGCCCAGGGCTCTGCCGCGTCCCTATCCCTGTCTCGCTACGTGGACCACCCTCTCCCCGCCCCCGACCCCGCCTCCCTTTCTTCCAGCCCACCCACCCCCATCTTCGTAGGAGGGGGCTGTGCTGCCTTCCTGGCTCTCTGCCAATTTCCAACCGCTGGTTTCTTGCTCCTCTCCAGCCTCTGCAAGTGTTCCCAGATAGCCGGACCTCCCACCCCCACCCCTGGCGTCTTGGCAGCCTCGAAAAGCGCGGGGTTTTCCAACTGTCTGCCAGGGCCTGGGAGGAAGTGGTTGCAAAGGGAGGTGGGGCTGGCCAGCGGCCTGGCTGGCTGGGGTGTTTCCTTTCTTGGGATGCTCCCCGAGGGTGGCTCACGTGGTGGAGGGGTGGGGGTGGAGGTGGATCAAAGGCCCGATGCCCAGCCTCTGCCCCTTGGGCCTCACTACCTTATGACTGTATTCCTTGACTTGAGCATCTTCTTGGATAGATGTGGATTGGGGAAGACCCTTGATCTCCCCCGAGGAATAAAAGCTGTTAGAACCCAAGAGACTAAGCCTCGGACGCCCCCGACCCTGCCTCCACATCCCACCCCAGCATTTATCTTCCCAGTTTTCTCCTACACTTGCTATAGTTCACCCATACCCTCAGAACAAAGGGAGGGGGATGGGAGAGGGAGGGGTTCGGAGGTCCAATCACCGGCCTGGAATGGGTTGCAAGCTTTCCCTTGGCCTCTTGGTAAGCGTATAGCCCCGGAGCTGGGTCTTCAATAATTGTTGGGTGGAAAACCCGACGGCCCAGCCCGGGGATGCTCGTGGGTGGGGGCCGTCGGTTTGACCCTAGTGGCCGTGACCTGGCAGAAAGCAACGGGGCTTTCTGCTCTGAAGTGCCTCGCCCGCCTCTTCGGCGCTAGCTACACTTTGGATAAAGAGTTTCCCTCGAGTTGGTTGGACGCAGGCCGAGGCCGTGGTGCTAACTTAGAGGGAGAGGCACCGCTTAAGCTTAAAACCCTGGCATCACCTGCCAAGGACGGCCTGACACCCTCAGGGAACCGTGCACATGGCTGGTGAAGGAGGAAAAAAACATCTGGAAGGAAAGTCCAAGCTGGCTGATGGACTAAATGACAATTTGTTGTTCTGTTCCTCGTTTGAAAATGCCAAATGCCGCTTGCCCCCAAAACCCGTTTTCAATTTTGACAGAAAGCACAGGTTAAAAAAAAAAAAAGGAAACTCAGCCTTTTCTTTGTTTTCTCTATGTTACCTAACCCCTAGACTAGCCCCAGCCCAGGGCAGACCCTTCCTTTGAAGGGTTTACTGGAGGGCATGGATGAGAGAGACGGACTTGGAAGGAATGTGATCTGCATACTTGGAGGGACTGATCCCCAGGGCCTCACATACCATTTCCATGACATTGGGGGGGGGGAATCATAGCCAATCTTTTATCCCAAAGCCTGGGAGCACCGGGGAAAGGGACCAGGGAATAGCTGGAGGAGACCAGCTGTTAGCATTCATAAAGCCATCTTAGACTCATAGATGTAACCTTGGGAAGGAAGGATCTTAGAGATCTCCTAGTCTGACTTTCTCATATTACAGATGAGGAAACTGAGGTCCAGAGAGGTTGTGGCTTGTCCAGGGTCACACAGATGGTAAATGGGCTTTCACTCGGATTCAGCTTCCCCAGATCCTCCAACTCTTTCCAATGCATCACCCCAGAGTACAGAAAACCAAACCAGTTCCCCATTGCCATGGAATACATTTGACTGTTGGAAGCTTGTCACCCCTGGCTTCCTTTTTTAAATTCCTGTGTGGTTTCCTGATAAGCGGTACCGGAGAAGGTCACAAATGCAGCATTTTAGAATGTATTAGTCATCATTAGAATGCCAGACTTGTCATGTGGAAGAGTAAGCATGTTTAGCCAGAAACTGGAAGTCTGCAGATTATCTCTTTGTAGATAGGACTGTGGTATCTAGGCACACAACAGACCCTGGGGTTCATCTGGCCCATCCCCCTCTTATAAATGGTGAGACTTAGACCCAGGCAAGTTGATGTTGTATCCTTGGAAAAGTCATTTAAATTTTCTGAGCCCATTTCCCCATCTGTAAAGTGAAGGGGTTGGACTAACTGATGTCTAAGGTCCCCTCTAGCTCAGATGTTCTATGATCCAGTGACTTTGGATGGTCAAACATTAAAGTTCCCATACCCTTTCAGGTCAATGACACTTATTTCCTTTGGCTATCCCAGCACAATATTCTGTTAGGAGCGGTGTTAAGCATGGGTAGGTTGATGCAAACATTCCTGTGGATATATTCACTCTCTTCAAAGACTTTTCTTCCTGAATTCAAATCTGGCCTCAGATATTTAATGGCTGTGTGACTCAGGGCAAGTCACTGAGCCCTGTTGGCCTGTTTCCTTATCTGGAAAATAAGCTGGAGAAGGAAATGGCAAAACACTCCAGTATCTTTGCCAAGAAAACCCTAAATGGGGTCATAAAGAGTTGGACATGACTGGGGAAAAAAAAAAGGCTAAACAACTAGTAGATAAGGCACTGAATTGGTAGTCAAGAACACCTGAGTCTAAATCCCATCTGAGACCCTGCAACCTCTCTCAGCCTCAGTTTCTGAGGCTGTAAATTGTGTCCATCTGTAAAATGGACATAATGCCTGCAACAGGGTCGTTGTAAAGATTAAATGAGACTACATTCATTAGAATGTAGATATTCATTTATAAACTCTAAAGTGCTATAAATACCAGTTATTTTTAAAGCCAGAAATGTAGGAGGCTATGCACATATGCTACCCCTTAAAATGGTCCTGGGTGCTTTCTAATTCTAATGACTGAGTCCTACAGATTTTCTTCTTCTCCTTATTTTTTCACCTAGTTTCGGAGCCAAAATTTCCTTCTATGTAAAACAGAAGGGTGGATTTCCAAGGCAGTTTATGAGCCACATAAGAAAATGACCTCATTTTTTAAAATGAAAAATTAGATTCAGTTTCATCATCTGTCTTTTTCACCACATTTTTGGCTACTTCCAAAAATCAAATCCATACCCAGGGAAGAAGGATTACCACTGCTAAAAATATTGGAGGGGAATATTTGAGGGAATACTTTACGGTAACCCAGAAAGGTAATTTGATCTCAGGCTGCATAGAGAGAGACATGGCAGGCAAGAACTGGGAGGTGAGAGCCCACCATCTCCCCTGAGTAGGCCACAGCTGGAGTTATATGCTCAGTTCTGGGTACCAGAGTTTAGGAAGGACATCAATGAGCTGAATATTGGTCGGAAGAAGGCAAAGAGGGTAAAAAAAGAGGCTTTTCACTCCAAAGCAGTCTCTAATTCGTACCATCTGTATTTTCAAACATACATGTGGTTGTATAACCTATATAGGATTGCTTACTGTCTCAGAGATGGGGGAGGGGATGGAGGAGAGAGGGATAGAATTTGGAACTCAAAACCTTTTTTAAAACATTAAAAAATGTAACATGTAATTGAGGGAGAAAGAAAATATTATTTAAAAAATGTCCATGTGGGCTAAGGATGAAAGGTACTTGAGGTTTTTAACAAAATGTAGGCTCTAGAATATTCAGAGAACTAAGCTGTATGACTCTTTGTGAACTACTCTGTGAGGTAGCTTCTTCATTTATCAAATTAAGTGGCTGGACTCTAATGAACCATAGTTCTAACAATCTATGACTTTCTAATTCAGCTTCTATCTAAAGGTCATGGCTGTGTGACCCAGGTTCCAGTGGGAGACAATCATGAGATATTTTGGAATGCTTATAGGGGAAATTTTAGAATTTGGAATTGGCCTAATTAATGTAAGGGGGAAGCTGGACAGATTAGGCAAAGATCATTGGAAAATAGCATTTAAAGCTGGAAGGGATCATGTAGTCCAACCTTATTTTACAGACATGGAAATTGAGGAACAGAATAACTGAAGTTATCTAATGCTTGTTGATTGATCTAGCCCAAAACCTATCCAGACCAGAATCATCTCTAGAATATACGTGACAAGCCACCATGCAGCCTTTGCTTGGAGGCTTCCAGTAAGAGGTGATCAGCTAGCCGCTTCCATGGGGATGGCTGCCATGGTTACGGAATTCTTCCTGATCTCAAATCCTCAGTCTATGAAACACAGATCTATTGATTCTAGCTTTGCCTGCTAGGGCCAAGCAGGGACCAGTTTAATCTCTTTTCCACTTGAGAGCCTTTAGTTCCAGGAAAGTCACTCTCGATCTACTCTTCTCCCACCTAAATATCCCTGTTTCCCTTCCAAAGAATAAAATATACTATGAAAAAACAGGTTCTCACCCAGGAAGATTTTCATGGCAAATAAATGGATGAAAACTTCTCATTCCAGAGAAGACAATCTATAGCAATCTTGTAACAATTAGTAAATCACCCAGGATAGCTGGTACTTACAAGCTGAAGTGACTTGCCCAAAGTCATGTAGATAGAGGGGTGGAAAAACTAGGATTTGAACCTATGTCCTCTGACTTCTCTTCTTCATACCCCATTGAATCAAACTGTGAACTCAGAGAAATAATGGAAAATAGACAACTGTCCATGGTCTTTAAGATCCATATATGTGTGTGTGTGTGTGTGTGTGTGTGTGTGTATGTGTGTGTGTATGTGTATGTACATATATACACATACATACATATATAGACACACACACACTTATATTCACTGCCTACAGTAAAGTAAGGCTCCATTCCACTTGTGCTGGTTTTGTGGCTGAGGAAGGGTTTAGATAGGAAAGCTGGGTAGTATGGAAAAAGGAGAGAGACAATTGCCACCTTATTGATATCTGCTTAGTGAGAGTAAAGAACCATGAACTCAGGGGTCCTGAAAGAAACTGTGGTCCTCAGGATCAGAGACATCTCCCTCAGGGCCCAAGGCCTCCATGTTGTCTGCTTACCAGGTAGTGAATCAAAATGGAGAGTGATGGCTGCCCTCCCCAATCCCCCAGCTCC